AAAGAAAATAAAGTGATGATTGTTGGCTTTTCTAAGGCTGTAACAGAGGTTTATCAGAAGCTTAATGATTTTATAGATAAAAACACACTTGTGGAAAAAATAATCCCAGCAAATTCAGTGGTGGTAGAGTTCATAGAGAAGGAGAAATCTGGTGCTTATTGTGACTTGAGGAAGAAAGGTGTGACAGTATGTTTTGATATCAAGACACCATGTATTTCCCTGAGGGGACCAAGAGCAGAAGTGCCAGAAGCAATCAAGATGTTTGAAAACCTTGTCTCATCCCTTTACTCAAAAGATGTGCCAATTGATAAGCCAGGAGCCAAAGAGTTCTTCATTGAGAGAAAAGATTCATGTGTTTTTGAAGCAAAGCAGAAATTTAGCTGTTTCATTAGGATCAAGGAAGAAGAGGAAGTAGAAGAAAAAGAAGAAGAAGAGGAAGAAAAAGAAGCGGAAGAAGAAGAGGAACAAGAAAAGGAAGAAGAAGAGAGAGAAGAAGAGGAAGAAGAAGAGGAAGACGAAGAAGAAGGAGAAGAGGAGGAAGAAGAAGAACAAAAACAGAGGGATAATAAAGGGAAAAGAAAGCTCTACTACAAAACAAGACTGCCACATGGCATTGTAGTAGCAGTGTATAAAGGTGACTTGAGTGATTATCCTGTTGATGTTGTGGTGAATGCATCTAACGAAGACCTAAAACACATCAGTGGCCTTTCTGGGGCACTGTTAAGAGCTGCTGGTCCAGCACTGCAAGAAGAGTGTGATAATCTAGTGAAGAAAAACGGGCTTTTCCAGCCCGGGAGTGCAGTTCTCACGGGTGCTGGGAAACTCCCCTGCAAGAGTGTCATTCATGCTGTTGGGCCCAGCTGGTGGAAGGAAGAGCCAGAAAAGTGTTTATTTTTGTTAAAAAAGGCAGTGAAGAAAAGTCTAGAACTAGCTGAAACATACAATCATCGTTCCATAGCTCTGCCTGCTATAAGTGGAGACATTTTTGGCTTTCCACTGCAGACATGTGCAGAATCAATTGCATTCGCCATCAAGGAGACCTTGGAAGGATCCATGGGGGACAGCAGCTTGAAGGAGGTCCATCTTGTGCATAATGCAGAAGAAACTGTTCAGGTTCTAAGTGAGACAGTAAAAGAGGTGTTTTCAGGTAAATCATCTTCCCCAACACCGCACATGGAAAGCTGTAACCTGAGAAAAAGGCAGGAGGAGATAAAAGAGGGTGTGAAGATGGTTACAACCAATGAAGGACTTTGCATCTATGTAGAGGAGAAAAACGCTCAGGAAGCCACGGTACGTCTTTCATTTTCTGCTTGCCCTCTATCTTTATTGTAAGATCTTCTTGAAATTTAAATAAAAAAGGAAGAACAGTAGGTCATACTGTTTTACAAGGCACTTGCTACATAAGGAACCAAGACCTGTGTCCTAGCTAAACAGGGATGCAACCTTGCAAAACTGAGGGCAGGTTGGGATCTGTCCCTCTGCAGCTGTTTCTGGAGAGCAGCTGTGAATGTTAGGATGTTTCATTCTCAGCTAGGTCTTGTTTTCCTTTTTTCCAGCTCTAAGGCCAACATGCAAAATAGTTTGCTTTTCTTCCCAAAGGGGAGATATTATAATTGTTTTTAACATTATGATCTGCAACTGTCTTGGTTGGATATTATGGTAAATCAGTACCTGCCTGGGCTGCTGTTTTAGGACGGTAACAGGGAGGAAAGAGCTTTTTCATTTTTTAGCTCCCTTTTTTTGGATGGGTGAAAGTGACAGCCTGTGAAGAATTTACTGAGTTTTCAAAAAGAGACTCCATAAAAGAGTCCACGTTCAGATTGTTTTACCAGTCTCTATTTCAGCAACTGCTGGTTTTCATACTTTGGATTTTAAAATATCCCTAAATAATATTAATAACTATTATTATTATTATTATTATTATTATTATTATTATTATTATTATTATTATTATTATTACTATTGTTAACCTGCTGTTTCAGTGGCCATGCTGGTGCCTGTAAAAGCTGATTCCAAGAAAGCAATACCAGATATGAAAAAAACCTCAGTATAACATATCAAAATACTTTGTAGTTAAAACATCTCCAGTGCAAAAAAGCAAAGCAGTCTCCAAACTTCAGGATTTCTCCTGTTTTACTTCACGACAGCAGAACTACCTCCCTTCGCCGCATTTTGGTGCATGAGGTGCTCCTTTTCTGATAAGGTGTAGACAATCCCACATCAGTGAAATGGAGGAAAGGGACATTAAAGTTTCTGCATTAGGTTTACCTTATACAGTACCTGTGTTTTGCATCCTGTGATGATGCTGGAGAAGGAGGAGCAATAGTGCAGTGGTTCTTGACAAGGAAATGTAGGGGAGTCTGGATCTGGGGAGTGGGG